TGTCTGTTCCGGGTATATACAGAGTGGATATAATTAATTTTTTAAAACGATTTATATTTTGTGTACATATTATATCACATTTTAATATTTGTATTGAGAGGCTTAAATTAATAATAGGTCGAGGGAAAAGTTTCTTCGTATTTTGTTTGTATAAAATTGAAGAAAAATCTCTTTGGTTGTTTGGTTTATCTGGCTGGTTTTATTATCAACACATATAACAGGACGTTAAAAAAAAGGAAAATGAAAAGTAAAATACACTTTTCCGCCATTTTTCACTTATTGTTTTTCTGTCCGCCAAATTGACGAATCTAACGAAGAAATTCGATACATTCTAAAATTCTAAAGATTTATTCCAAAAAAAGGGGAAAAATGCGACTCAAGCCGCGAAAAAAAATTGCGAAGTATATGGACCTAATGGAGTGTCAGTAAGAGTAGCACAACGTTGGTTCAACCGTTTTCAGTCCGGGAATTTTATGTCAAAGAAGCTCGCTCTGGTCGCCCACATACGGATAAAATCGGCAAAATGCAAGTATCGGCTTATTAGTAGTTACGACATAGCCGAGGTGTTGAGGATTGACCACAAACAAAGACATTTAAGTAGTAGTAGTAATAGACCGGACATTAGCAACAAAATAGTCACCACTTATTTATGTTCTATAGGATATATTTCGGGTTTGTGTCATTTGGCCTTAGTGACATCGTCAAAAGTTCAAGACGCATTCGTTTCCTAAGTTTAAAAATATTTTTGTAGAAAATATGCCCGATTGTGCATTAAGGTATTGTAAGTCCCGATATGGAGCAAAAACTGAATGTGATTTCGGTTTATTATCGCAAGAATAATGTATATTTATTCAATAATTTTTAAAATTTATTATTTCTTGTAGATTGTCCTAGTATATTTATCGTTATTGAATAAGCGCCCTCTGTTATCCAATAACGTCGTGATTTATTAACCACAGAGTTAGTGATTGACAACGTATTACAACAACGATTATTGTTATCGATAAAAAATATTATACCGGATGCCTATTTAATAATCTACAATATTTAAGGAGGTGAAACAATAAAAAATACTGTATCCATACCAATAAAGAAATCGGGTGGGCATATGTCGAGGCACACAGCCGTTGTTTTTAACGTCAAACGTCTATGTCAGCCAGTACAGCCAGTACAACCGGTCTACAAGATAGACTTCTTTTTAAAATTTTAATATAATTCTACAACACTGTGCTTTTGAAAAGGAGTAAGCTCGTTTGTTGAAGGTTCCTAAGTCCTACCGGTCCTTAAAAAAAATAGCCAAAGGTAAAGGATTCCTAAGCAAACTCCTATTAAATCGCACGGTAGTGGACCGCCAAGCATCCAAATTATGTGGATGGTAACGTAAGTTTTGTAGCGATGTGTATTGGTGAAATTTGGTGGCTGGAATTAATCAGAATAATTCCTCAGAGCACTCCCCGTGGTAAATAAGATAGAAAATGCAAAGGCATGCAACATCTCTACGCAGCGCCAGTGAATCGAGCTAATCAAAGACAACTCGGTCGTTGACATCGAGCCGCTCTGTTCTCTATGCGGTCAAGTGGAAGGAGCTTGCCCCGGAGAGCGCCAGCCCAGAAATGAGAACAATATTCCATGTGATGCCGAACCTGAGCTTGTAAGGTTGCAAACAGTGTGCAAGCATTAAATACTGTCCCGCTCTACTGAGTACGCCAAGCTTTTTAGAAGCCAATTTTGCTTTCTCTTCCAATTGAACATGCTACTGCAGGTCATTCAATATGTCGACGCCGAAGATTTCGCTTTTGGCTGAGACAACAAAGGAAGTGCTCTGAAATTGAGGAGATACGACAAAGGTGTTCTTTTTAGCGGTAAGCGCGCAAACTTGTGAATTTGTGAAATAATTTATCGTGTAATGACTTTTAAATTCAGTGCTTTCCTAAAATATGTTAGATTTAAAGTGTATTTTTGTAAAAGAAACGAATTTGAATTAGAAAAACATGGTGGCCTTCTCTTATTAGATTTGACGTTTCGCGATATGGCTTCGACGCCGACTGACCAATAATATGCTATTATTATACCGTCCAATGGACCTAGTGACGTCATCCAAGATGCCATTGTGATTGCTGTTTGAATTAATTCTTATTTATTGGAAATTAAATATTTTATTTCATAACGTTGCATTTCATTCATGACGTTATTCATGACTTAAAAAGGTTATATGATTTTTTTTTGGTGTGATAGGAGTAATAATAAATAGATTTGTACAATAAAAAGCATGCATATTCCCTATTATTATATCGTAAAACATTACAAACTAAGTAACCTTCAACAAAATTATCGATACTTTGATGTCGAAACAATAATAATCCTAAAACGGGTTTTTACCCTAAATTTATTAGCGTCACCTACCGAGGAATAGCTGAAATGTTTTCTTAATAAATATTCAGCGTAGTTTTGCTATGTTTAGCTAGAAAGCGTCACACACGTGCGAGCTCAACATTTTTGTATGCAAATGTTCATAAGGTTTGCTCTATAGTACACCTATATATTTAAATTTCTTTGACCACAAAATAGTTTTGACCCTTTGAAAAAGTCTGGATATATAAAAAGACTCGATATTTGGGTACCACAAGAGCTCACTGAAAGAAACTGAAAGAATCGTGGTCTCATTTGCGATTCTCTATGCAAACGTAATGAATCCGAACTATTTTTGAAAAGATCGATCACGGGTGATGAAAAGTGGGTCACCTACGACAAGAACGTGCGAAAAAATTCATGTTCAAAAGTATTCAAGCTCCACAGACTGTAGCGAAACCCGGATTAACACGCAATAAGGTGATGCTATGGGTATGGTGGGATTTACTGCCGGACAAAACCATCGATTCGGATCTCTACTTCCAAGAACTAATGAGACTTAAGGAAGAAATTGAGAAAAAACAGCCGAAATCGATCAACAGAAAAAGAGTGGTCTTTCATCATGATGACGCCAGACCACACACATATTTGGTCACTCAGCAAAAATTAAGAGGGTTTGTTGGGAAGTGTTAATGCATCCACCTTATAGTTTCTTCAGAATTCTTTAGATAGTGTTATATGGACATAAAGAGAGGACTGTCAAAACTACTTGTAGCATTTTTTGATCAAATATCCCAAGATTTCTACAGATACGGGATTATGTCAATATCGACAAGATGCCAACAAATTATCGAACAAAATGGCACATATATATTGTGATTAAGTGTAGTTAAACTTTGATAAGAAAAATGTCAATTTATATATAAAATACGAAGAAACGTTTTCCGCGACCTTATATAATAATTTCCTTAAATGTTTGTCTTAGAGACTTTACATTTTAGATCATAGATTACCCGTAGAGGCCTCTATGCAAAACAAATATAATAAATATATAAAAGGTTGGATTTAGAATAATTTGGCAGGAATATGGAGGAGTAAGATGTTTTATTTGGTAGAGATTTGGACCCCGATTATAATAATACCAGTCACATTAAAAGGTAATGCACCGTTATCGAAAAAAATAAATAAAAACTATAGTAAAATAAAATGTGTAAAACTAATTACTGTGAAAGCTGGATAGCATATAGAATTTTGTGTAAGTGCGACAAGGACGTAAGACTAGTGTCACGTTATTCTACTGTCTATACTCTCTATCAAGAGCTATTTCCCTAAAGACAACTATAATAGTAGAGAAAATTTTACTAACTTGATATATGAATATTTATGGGGAAGAGACATTATAAAGAATAAAAGAGATCCTTTTGAGGAATTAATAAAAATAATAAATTATGTTTACAGACAATAAAGAAATGATTATAATATACTGTTTTATTTCTGAATTGTTTAAAACTGCCCAGAAATACTTGAACACCCAGAAATAATTTCAGTTGTAATAGGTTAAAAGGTTGTGCCGGGAGCGAAGGCAACCTGACTTTATAGATAAGATATCTGATCTGATCGAATCTGTACCAAATTAATTTTAGTACGACCCGACTCCACGTAGTCTTGTCTGCCCTACTCCTAGAGTGTTTTTGTAAAGCCGTAAATTATTTTCCTTTTTAACCAGGTCGTAAAAGTCTATAGCATGACTCGGGCATCTGCCCCGTACGGAGAATTTGTCTTCATTTTCTCGCCTGGGCTGCAGATGGACTATCGCAGTAATAGACCTCTCGCACTCTCTCATTTAATGCTACCGAAAAAGAAAGATTTTTCCGCCATACATCGGAAGCTATGGGATTTTTCTGGCACTTCCCATAGTTGTATCTTACGAAACGAGGTTCTAAGTGCATTCATTTACGCCGTCAACACACGGCAAACGAATTGTCGCTCCTATTTAATCATTGAACTTATATAAATATTAATCCAATAGACTGTTTTTTTATAGATAAGAGTGATTGTTAACCCCCTCCTTAGTTCCTTCTTTGTATTTTCTTACTGCATATCTCTATACCACTAAGTTATTTAAATATGTTATTGTAAGGACCGGTCGGTGTACGAGTTTTGCACTTTATCGACCTTATTTATTCTTTTTTTATTCTTAGTAAACACATTCGCTATACTATTGCTATTTGAGTTGAACCAGTAGTGTAGATTAAATAATTAAAATTATAATTAAAGTAATAAGGCCTTAAACCATATATATTACAAGTTTATCGACTATAAAACAATTCGAACATAATATTATATGCGAACGATTTCGTGGACACAGCTTTTTATACAATTAGGGTGACAAATGAGCACTGTCCACCTGATGATAAGTGAATGCTGTGGCATGGGCATAGACATCAACATCTATAAAATTCGAACCCAGAATCCATAACGGAACAAACAAGAGAAGACAATATGTTCCATAGAAACTGTATGAAAATGGGTAAAATATCGGTAAACTATTTATTATTGTTGTAAATATAATCATACAACTAACTCGCTATTTTTGCTATACCGTACAATAATCAGGAAATACAGGTAAATGTGGAAATCTTTGTCCGCAGCTTCAAAGAAAAGTCACCGTCACCGGCATCGGAAAGCTCGCCAGGTAATGTAATAATATATTCAACCGCTTCTAGCTATTCTTTTCAAAATATCAAAATATACTTACTATTAAATACTAAATATACAAAAGATTCAGCAGTTATTATAAGTAACTGTGAATTAATTCTTCAAAGTGAATAATTACACTAACACCAAATTAGAATTACAATTAAGAATAAACAAACACAGCTCTGGAATGCTCTGCCTTTAAGTATCCGTGAGGCGCGATTCATTGATAAATAATTTTTACAGTGGTAGAGTCACACAGCAGTTTTTTGCTATCGCAAGGATGGGTTGGCTCGAAACGGGATGGTACCACGACCTCACAGAATACCAGCGTGAAGTAAAAACCTCTCGCTGAGCATCCAAGCTGCGCTACTCTTTCTGAACATGGTTACTCAGGCTGCCCCCCGTATTCGGGGGGCGGCGTGAAATCCCGCTCAAGACTAAAACTGCTCGAGGTAAGCGGAGCAATATAACAAAGGCAACCCCTACCACGCCGTGAAGTTCTGCTACATCGGGGACTTCATTCAAACTTCTATGCCGTCCACTACCACCTGTGGTCAAATCGGTTTTCCTCTTTCTAAACGAGACACAGGTTTCCTCTCCGGCTGATACTTCGTATTTTTCCTACCCGGGGTACAAATTAGAACACTCCTTTGTGCCCTTTGTTTGGAGTTTGCGTATACATCAGAGAGGACATCTGTTATCGACGCTTCGGCAGTCTTGAAGTTACGGACCTGTCCGTTCTATGACTGCGCGTAGACAACGACAACCATCGCCGCGTGTACGGGGCCTCAGACCCACAGACCGACTCGTCGACCATGCCCAAATGGCTGCAGACTCGTACTACCGGAACAGACTTATGTCTAAAGTCGAGACTTTGTTGAGCAAAGTCTCGGACTGGAGGCGTCTAAATTTAGTCCAGTTCAATCTCCAGAAGACACAAGTATGCGCGTTTACCGCTAAAAACAATCCCTTTGTCGTAGCTCCTCAGTTTTGGGGTACTCCTCTTGTTGCCTCAGCCAGTATCGGTATTCTCGACGTCAACATATCGAATGACCTGCAGTTTCATGGTCATTTGTAAGAGAAGGCCTCTAAAAAACTTGGCGTGCTCAGCAGAGCGGTACATCATTTAATCAAGGCACACCGCCTGCAACTTTACAAAGCGCAGGTTCGGCCTCACATAGAATACTGTTCCCATCTCTGGATCGGGATCCATACTATCTGGATGATTAGCAGTCCACCACTGTGAAATTTACAAGAAGTTTTCTTCCTCACACAACTTTCTTGTGGGATCGACTACCACCAGCGATTTTTTCGGACCGATACGACTTAGGGACCTTAAAAAAAGAGCTTACTGTTTTTATAAAGGCCGGCATCTCATCTGCGATTCCTCTGGTGTTGCAGGACACTCACCATTGGGTGAGCCGCATGCTCGTTTGCTCCCTCTTCTATAAAATTAGTAAGAGAGCAGTACTAGTATTAATCTCTCTAGTGCCTAAGCTAAAGATACTCACCGCATCCACAGCTTTATGTTATGTTGGCATAATTTTGTAATTTATTTATTTATACATTTTGAAAAATTCGGGTGACCAATGTTCAACATTGAACTTTATAGGCTGTAGTGGATGGATGAATGGATTTATAAATGTATTTATGATATTGCACGCCTCATAACGCAAACCGTTATTAGGTAGTGCTTTACTCTCGACACGTCAAGGTCAAGCAATTTTGTGTTTTTAAAATGCAATGATAGCCTTATTGCACTTAAATGATATGAGTAGCCGTATATCAAAAAAACACTAATTAATCCATCTTAAATTTTCTAAAAATACATTTTATATAGGTAATTTGAAAAAAAAATACGTGGAGGTTCAGATGTTAATTTTATATGTGATCACGATAACTCCCGCAAAAATTGACGTATCGAGACCGTTTTTTTTTATTAGCTTCAGAATTACATCAACTGGTTCCCTATTTCATATTAATAGCCTAGTACGCGTAGTTTGTTAATAATTTTTTTTTTCAACTTTTATAAGTTTAATTGGTATTAAAATTTTAAGTGCGCTTTAATATTAAGGACAAATGTACCATACAGCCTATATCGATTTTATACGTATTTTATGTGTAATCGATTTATTTTGGTAAACATTATTATTTGTTTTCCCCGTAGGTTCTACCTGTTAAAAAATAAAGCGCTAAATTTAAAACATTTAAATAATATATTTTAAAAGTCAGGAATACATTTATTTTCGTCAAAATCAAATGAAACGCTCATGAGGCTGTTTTGGATTTTCCCATTGAGTTATATGTACTACGTACTAGAGAAGCCATTCCAAACAAAAATTGTGTCCTACTCTATGTATTCGCGCATGCGCAGAAGTAGTAGTCGCGCATGCGCCAAGACTTTAATTTGATTTAAAATAAGATATTAATATAAAACAAATATAAGAATTTAATATATCTTAATTTAATCTAAACAAACATATTTCTTAATAAAATGTTAATTATTATTTTATAGAATTCACAAATTTTCAATTTACGCAATATTTAGTTTGTAGGGATTGTAGTACAGTTCAGTTGAACATAGTCAATGTTCGGAATGGCTTCTCTAGTACGTAGTACATATAACTCAATGGATTTTCCAAACTATATTATGATTTGTATTGGTTTGAGTTGAATTCCTAGGACGCCTTTGGTTGCCTGGAAGAGACCGATATGCGGCCACAAGGCCGCCAAATTGTACCAGTAATGTTTCATTTATCTTTTTTTTTTCTGGTTATATGAACGTATATTCATTCATTCAAATTATTTAATTAGTGCGGCATCAAGCCTTAAAAATCCTATTTCTTCTTTCTATAAAAAATATCACTACACCAATTTACTTAGAACTAAGCAAAATTATATCGATCGTTATAATACAATGGAACTAATCGACTACGGGTAATTTTTATACCGACGAAACACAATAGAATAATTTGTGTTCATTAAAGGTTACGAAAATACTTAATGAAAGTCATATAATATGTTTTTACCATTAGTTTGGAACAGTCCTCTGTCCTGGGAAGAAGCAACAAGAAACCCGGTGGAGTTTTTTGAAATATTAATTTATAAATATTATTGTATATAATAATTTGCAAAATTAAACGTGATATAACATTCAACATTGTAGTAATCACCTCATTCCCAGGAGTTATTATCAGTCATGTTGTACTGTTTTATAGTACTGTATAATATTCCTTATTAAACAATAACATACAGTACATACATACATAAACACTCACGCCTGTCACCCAGAGGGGTAGGCAGAGACTACGGACTTCCATTTGGCGCGATCCTGACAGACCTCTCTCGCCTCTTTTACATCCATATATCTACGCATACACGCTCGTCGGTTAAGGGTACTCCTAATCTGGCCCATTTTTAATGTATCGCCGATTTGGTCGATAAACCTTCGTCTAGGGCGTCCCTTCCTGACCCTGCCGTTCACTTCTGCAACATAAATTTGCTTAGTCACTCTTAACATACAGTTTAGCTGCCATTTGCATTGGCTCCGTCCATTTGTATCTATAATCATGATCCACAAAATATTATCAAATACGAAGAAAACCTGTCCAACATACGAATAATTACGTCGTAAACATTTACTGACATGATCTGCAATTCTGCAATGATCCTTATCTAGTTATGAGTGTTATTACTAGATCAAGAAATAACTTTTTGTATTTTTATCCAGATGTAAATATGATATGTACTTAAAGCTAGAGCCAAGAGAAGCTTAAAGCAAAGAAACCAGCTTTCAAATAAAAAAAGAATCATTGAAATCGGTTCACCTAGAAAAAAGTTTTATGACCACACACTTAAAAAAAGAAAAAAAACATACGGTCGAATTGTGTACTGTCACCTTTGAAATGCAACGTGACATTTAACAAGTAAAATACATTGAGTTGTATGTACTACGTACTAGAGAAGCCATTCCGAACATTGATTATGTTCAACTGAACTGTAGTGCAATCCATTCAAACTAAATATTGCGTAAATTGAAGATTTGTGAATTCCATAAAATAATTATTATTACATTTTATTTAGATATATGTTTGTTTAGATTACATTAAGATATTTATATTAAATTCTTATATTTATTTTATATTAATATCTTATTTTATATCCAATTAAAGTCTTCTCACATGCGCGAGTACAACTCCCGCGCATGCGCGAAGACATAGAGTAGGACACAATTTTTGTTTGGAATGGCTTCTCTAGTACGTAGTACATATAACTCAATGGTAAAATATAACAAAAATTTATGTGCAGTGTTGAATTTGAAATAAGTAGTGGTTTGAACACCAATTGTTTACCCCCGCCATTTTCTTAATTACATTATTTAATTTTTTTAATAGCTATGACAAACGAGCACGCAGTCCACCTAATAATAAGTGGTTGGTGCTGTGGGCTTCATATGGGCTGTGGCCCATAGACATCTACATCTATCCTCGTTTGCGAATCAAAATGCAGATGCGTTGTCACCCGTCAGGATTAAGGTGGAATGCCTCGTTTTCAGTAAAAAAGGGTCTCCGGTTCTCTACACTCGCCATACGAAACACAGCGGCGTTCAGCTGCTAAAGCTAAGTTAAAGCTGTCTTAGTATAAAAAGCACGTTGATTCGTCTTGGTTCAATGAGAGGGCGCAGCAGCGGCGGCGGTCCCCGCGCGGGCGAGGGGGGGGGGCGAGGGAGAAGCGAACGCTCTCGCCAACTTCCGAGTTCAAGCGCCGCGAGCACTAAACGCTCAGTTAACGCCCGCAAACCTATCACAAGTATGCAAGCCCCGTAACCCACTAAAAGCGATGCGATAGTAGATTATATGTACGTTCCTATGCTATTCGAACTTTTTTAATCTCTTACATAGGACTTGTAAATGTGTATTACTATTAACAGGACAAGACAATTTATCTATATATATATATATATATATATATATATATATATATATATATATATATATATATATATATATATATATGAACTCCTAAACTACTGAACTGATTTCAATGAAATTTGCACACTCTGTGCAGTTTGGTCCAACTTGAGAGATAGGATAGTTTTTATTCTGATAAGTGACACTCAATATTTAGATCCG